AAAAAAAAAAAAAAAAACTAAAAGGAACAAATGTTGAAAGTACAAGATAAGTGTCAACTACCGAGCTAAGTTTATGTTGGCTAAAAAATAGTGACATTATTATGTTATATTAATTAAGTTATTATTGTTACTTTTTAGATTTGTGGCTAGCTAGTTACGTTTTAGATTTGTGGTTAGCTAATAAACATTCTAATGAACTATTTTTGTGAGTAGCGATTTTTTCAACCGTATTGAATCTTTTTTTAGAAGGGGATGAGGCATTTTATTGTTGAATAATTTCCTAGTTAAGTTTCGATATTTTCATTCTTTTTTAGTACAACAAAGGTGGGTATAGAGATTTAAACCTCCCACCTCTAAGTAAGGAAAAGATGTTTTAACCGTTAAACTATACTCGTTGGCTCAAATATTTTCATAATCGGTTATTTATTTACATTCTTCGTTCAATTGGATAAAATTGAAAACTTGAATTCCAATCGACCTCATGATCAGTACTTAAGTTTTCATTTTAATATTGTGGGTACTGAAATTTTCTGTCTAGATCATACCGCCTGTAAAATCAATTATTCTTTATACTTGGACCTTATAATAAGGAACCATTTGTAATTTTAAACTATTAATTCTTGTAGAATGTTGCACTAGAGCACATTTTAATATTTAAAAACCTCAGAAATCTGACTAAATCTACCAGAAAAGATAACAAACAAATAAGAGACTACTTTGTCTTTGCCAACTTAACCCTTTTCTATTGGCTGATTGAGGAATAGAATTTTGTTTAAAAGTTCCCTGTTGGCCTTTTTGCTGCGCTGATTTGTTGTTTTGAGTTGACAGGTACGAAATTATCTCAAGAATCAGACAATCCTGCCGTCCATTGAAGCTTTGTTTTATTGTATTAATCAAACACCGAGCTTGAGATTACGTACAGTTCATGTTCTTTAGTTCTTTTGACATCTCAGAAAGTTTTCCAAATGGCAAACTCCTAAAACTGATGCCTTTTCTGATACCCCAATTCACAGATTGTTTAACATTTCAGAATTCAGAGCTTGCCTTCCATTTTTGCCAATGGCTTTCCTTGTTCTTCTTCTCTTCTTGTTTTTGGGTCGTTTCGTTGCCTCCCAACCGCCGCCGAATGTGACGGTTGGCTCGCGGTGTCGTTTAGACTCTGCTTGCCAAGCTTATGTGACCTTCTTGGCAAGGTCTCCTGAGTTTTTGGATCTGCAGAATGTGTCTGATCTGTTTGGAGTTCGTCGGTCGTTGATTGCTGAAGCTAGTAACTTGGATCCCGAGGATGGATGTTTGTTCTCGGGCGAGCTCTTGCTGGTTCCGGTGCGTTGTGGCTGCAATGGAGACCGCTACTTTGCCAACATCACTTACCAAATCAAGGAAGGTGATGTCTACTATACTTTAGCAACGAATTCATTTGAGAATCTTACTGATTACCCTGCAGTGCAAGCTTTGAATCCCAATTTGAAGCCAAGCTTTCTGCACACAGGAGATGAAGTAACTTTCCCTCTCTACTGCAAGTGTCCCTCGAAAACGAATGTCGAAAATCATATCAATTACTTTATTACTTACATATGGCATTCGACCGATAACATTTCCGATGTCAGTGCTGAGTTTAACGCCTCGAGCGATGCCATACTAGCTGAAAATAATTACACGGATATGAGCGATGCAGCAAACCTCCCTGTATTCATACCTGTGTCGCAATTGCCTCTTCTCTCTCAAACAAATCCATACGACGAGACGAAGAAAGCCAACCGGAAGCGGATTCTTGTCATTTCGATGAGTGTAGGAGGTTCGGTTTTGATTCTTCTTTTAGCAGCTGGGCTGGTCTGTGCTCATTTTGTTTGTAGGAATAAGAAGTCATTGAAATGGAACAAATTCTCTATGGACACTACTGATAGCCCTGCAAGGAACAATGCCTTTGGGGCTAGAATTAACTTGCAAGATGACAGATTGCTTCCTAAGATTTCAGACTATCTAAGCAGGCCAATTTTTTATGATATCAATGTGATCATGGAGGCAACCAAGAAATTGAATGAGTGTTCTAGAATTGGAGGATCATCGGTGTACCGAGCAACAATCAACGGGCAGGTCTGTGCAGTAAAGAAAAGCAAAGAAGGTATAACTGAAGAACTAAACATATTGCAGAAAGTAAACCATGTGAATCTAGTAAAGGTAATCGGTTTCTCGATCGACATTGATCGGAGTTGCTTCCTAGTCTACGAATACACGGAAAATGGTTCACTTGATAAGTGGTTGCACTCCTCCTCCTCCTCGGCCGTCCTCAATTGGGATCAAAGACTATCCATAGCATTAGACGTGGCCAATGCTTTGCAGTACATGCACGAACACATTCAACCGAGCATCGTTCATCGAGATATCCGAACGAGCAACATACTTCTCGATTCAAAGTTAAAGGCAAAGATAGCAAATCTTTCCCTGGCGAAGCCTGCAATAAACTCAACATCACACAAGATAGACGTTTTCGCATTTGGAGTTGTTTTGTTGGAGTTACTTTCAGGTAAAAAAGCGATCGAGACGAAAGGAGAGGGCGAGGTGGTGATGTTGTGGAAGGATATAAGAGAGGTGGTGGATGTTGAAGAGAAGAAGGAAGGGAGGGTGAGGACATGGATGGATACAAGACTTGAAAGTTTGTACCCCATTGATGGAGCTCTGAGCTTGGTAGACTTGGCCACAGCATGCACACATGACTTGGCCTTGGCAAGGCCAAGCATGGCTGAGATTGTGTTTAATCTCTCTGTTCTCACTCACTCTCCCTCTTTGACAGAAACATCTTGGATTTCTGGTTCGGAATCGACAGATGTTAGCCAAAACATCGGTACCGTTGTGGCTCGGTGATCATTTCGATAAAAACATATATGTTTTGTCGAGGTTATAATGTCTTCACCGGTTGACTCAAACTTAATGTTTGTTATTGTTACATTGTTCTAGTCCAACTTGTTCCTACCTTGAATGGGAAAGGTTAAATTACTAATTTATTCCTCTTTGTTATTTTCAATTTAATCCTTATGAACTTAATTTGGTCGTATGATTCTAAAAGTTTCAATTTAGTCCCTATGATTGGAACTTAGTTTGAATTTGATGGTGATCCGAGTTATTTCTCCCTCGACGATGAAGTTTATCCTCCATCATCTCACTTGCCGACCTTGACCCCTGCTATTGATCGAACTCACAACTTCATGATTGGAGGTATATGTCAATTACAGCTGAACTATGCTCGCTTTAAGCTTAGTTCCAATTTGATTTAATTCCACTGTAATTAGAACTAAAATCTAATATGAAATTAGCTAATATATATTGTTTGAAATTATGATTAAAATAATATACTTCGCTTTTTATCCCTAACACGTATTTCTCTACGTTTGAAACATTTAAGAGTAGTGAGATTATTAGTTATTCGAGTAGTTTAATGTTTATGTGACCTCGAATTGAATTAATATTACGATATGATAATTAAATGGTACAAAGAAGTAGACTAGGTGAGTAAAAGAGATAGTAGCTTACCTACTCTCTTGTGCGATGTGAATCATCGCTCTTTAATTTAGTCAACATACAATATCAGCATCTACGTAACGATGTTAACTATATACATTTATTGGAATCAAAATTGAAAACTCAAGAATATAATTGAAGTTCTCTTCGAAAAGAAAAATTCAATTTTATGTTTAATAGGTGTGTGAATTATTATTATTATTTTTTTTGAAAAAGCCAAAATTCTACACAAATTTCAAGAATATTACACACTAAATTAAAAGGTTAGGGCAGTTGTTTTAAAGATTAGATATCTTCTTAGACAAAAATTGATAATTTAACATTTATTTTATTTTATGTTAATATAAGGTTAAACTACAAAAAGTTGTCTTCAACTTTGCCCTCTATTTTAAAATCTTCTATTTTAAAGTTGTCTTATATATATATTTTTTGTAATTTAGGCAAAAATATAATAAAACTTTGCAATACTTAGCAAAGATTTTTTAATAAAATTAATTATTTTTTGATATAAATAGTCACTGAAATTTTAATACAAAGTAGAAGTCTCTTATACTGGGGGTATTAATAAGTCTCTAACTTTCTCTTTTATATCCAATAAATTCATTATCTTTAAAAATTGTCACATAAATTATGGATTAATTAAATATAAAATCTAAAATTCTGGGATAGTTTGTTAGATACAAATCTAAGGCATCATATACGCAAATTGTTACTTCTTTTTTTTTTTTACATAATTTCTAAATATAGAAGGTATAGAAACATAAAAAAATAATGAAATTTTAGGTCTGTTTGGTAACGTTTCTGTTTCCTCCTTCTTCATGTATTCAAGAATGATAAAATAAAATCTTTATTTACGTTGAAACAAATTGAAAACAAAAATCAGAAACAAAAAGTTGTTTTGGTTGTTTACAAAAATTCTATATAATTTTGAGGTTGTTTCTAAAAAATGAAAAACAAAAACACAAATATTTTGTCAAAGGTTTAGTGTTCTTAATAAAACTGGAAACCAAAAATAAGAAATAGAAGCTTTACCGAACGAATCCTTAATTGGTAGAAATAAACTCCAAAAAAAATCAAATGGGGTGATTGAAAAATGTAGTATCAACAACTTTTTTTCTCTCAGGTGCAGATATTAGAGTTCATTCGTTTCGATTACGATTATGGAAAATTCAAAAGTTTTTTCATATTCAGAAAACCACCCATTGTAGTCTATTTTAGTGCAAATACTTTGTCTAATTTAATCTTTATACTTCCCATTAACGTTTGTTTTGGTTCTGATGTATTTGATTAAGTTTTTCTCATATTTAGAAAACCACCCATTTTGTGTAATGGATATCTTTTTCATTTTAAAAATTTTTCATTTGGGTTGGTCCTCCAATTTCCAATTTTTCAAATTCTTTCCAACACATTTGAATTCTTAGATAACAAAACAAAAAAGAAAATGCTGAAAGCAGCGTTTTTGTAAGCGTTTTTTTTTTCTCATAAAAAAAGTGAGTAATAGAAAATCTAAAACCAAAAAAAAAAAAAAATAGTTATCAAACAACAACAATTTGAAAACTTAAATTCGATAGGATTATATTATGTTTAAAATAAATAAATTTGATTGTAAATCAGAATTAATCCGTTTAAATAGGCACATGAATAGGATACATAGTTTAAGATTGGGTTCTGTTTAGGGTTCATAATCTCAAGTATCAGTTTGCCTTTAAAATCTCAACCTAACTTTTTTTTTTCTTTTTCTTTTTCATTTTAGTTTTAGCCAATTGGGTTTCTCCAAAATTGATTGAAAGATTAATTAATAAGTTGAATTGTTTGAATATAGAATGGATGACAAATCGCTCCCTTATAATCTTCGACTACGAAAAGCTTCTGCTCCAACTGAACCTTCCAAGATCAATCAGAAGCATGAAAGAGATTTTCAGGTAATTTTCTTTTTCTTTTATCAATATTAGGGTTCATATACATATATTTTTTTTTTGTTGGTAGTGTTTGTTTTGAAAGATTTATAATATCATATGGCTACTTCTCTCATTGGATATTTATTTAGGAAAAAGGAGATGAAGAAATAGGTTTGGAGCAGCGATGTGAAAAATGTGGGTGTCGTTTTGGTATTGAAATCTCTCTTCATTCACACCATTGCAAGTGCAAGGTACTTAACATTAATTAAGATTATTTTTATTAGTGAAGTATTTTTTTTTCTTTGTTTATAATAATAATAATAATAATGATGAAGATTATTGTTGTTGTTTTGGTGCAGAATAAGATGAGCGAGGAGGGGATGGAAAATCAAGTGGTACCAGAAATGTTGGATCAAAATAATAATAATAAAAAATCCTTCAGAAAAAGAAGCAGGAAGGGAATACCAACACGGGCTCCTCTTTTTTCAGTCTTCAATTAAGATATTTATAGGGCAGTCAAATTGTGTTCATATATACAACTATTTCATGGGTTTTCTCTACCTCATTTTCTTAAATATATTCTTTTTGATCCCACTCCCAAATAATTACTCGAGCAAATGTCCATTCTTATCGACCAAATAAATCTTTTTCCTTTTCTTTTGATATTCCCAGAACTGGGATATGGAAAAATACATAATATGGAAAATAAAGAATTTACTATCTCGGATAATATATATTCTCCATATATGGTGATGCAGAAGCATAAATTTTGTAATGATTAAATCAAATCAATAATAAAGAGTATTTGATCTAATTTCATTTTATTTGACCTTTTATTTTAACCATTAATAAAATCCAGATTAATTTTGAAAATGTTTTTACAAACTGAGAAACAAGACACATAAATAAATGCTTAAATTTCTTAATAAAATTTAAAACGAGAAACAAGAAACGATAATGTTTGATAGACACACCTAACATATGCGGGATATAGTTGAATGGTAAAATTTCCTTGCCAAGGAGAAGACGTGGGTTCGATTCCCGCTATTTGCCCAGGATCAAGATAATGGGTTAATGAAAATATTTTCAAAATCATGTTATTATTATTATTATTATTATTAATTATTATTATTATTATTATTTTGAGTACAAATTGAGTAAATATATATATTTTTTTAATGTTATCTCATTCATTAGTTTCTCTTTCTATTAAAAAAAAAGGATCTTCAGTATTCTTTTTTCTTCTTTTTTCATTATAAACCTAAGAGGCCTTATGGGGGCTAGTAAATGTTTTTTCTTTTATGACTTTATCCATTATTTTCTATCATTAATATCATTCATCATCATCATTATATTTTCAAATTTTAGTTGGACTAGGAAAATTAGGAACTCTTTTTAAAGAGAGATCGAAAATTGTGTAGGAAAAGGAATCCATCCTTTTTTTTTTCCCTTTTGTGTTATAAATAAGAGCTTTGGAACGCTCATAATCGTAGAAGAACACAAATAAATAAGTCTTCGATTCTTGATGTGAGTTTTTTATTTCAAAAGTTGTTCATTAGTATAAATAAATCACTAAAATTTTAATCTCACTTAAGAAGAAAAAAAAATTCTCTTATAATTTTATGTGTCTAATAGATCCTTTGACTTTAAAATTATCTCATTAGAAGTTAGGGATTAATTAAACACAAAATTAAAAATTCAAGGATAGTTTGATAGATACAGACGTGTAAGTTTGAAAATTTGTTAACTAGTTTTCAAAGTTGAATTTATTAGAATCTCTTTTTTGTCTTTTGCTGGAGTGCAGATATTAGAGTTGACCCATTTTGATTACAACGATGGAGAATTCGAAAGCCTCGAAGTTGCAAAATGAAGAGAAGCATAAAAAATGGGCAGAAGCGGATGCAATTTTTTTGTAAAAGCTAAGTTCAAAGAAGATGATGGGAGAGAAGGATTGTTCTTCTAATTTGTTTGGATCATCAGAAACATTTAGTAACGGTGAGATAATTAACTATCGCAGGCAAAGGTATTTGAGAAGCTATAAATTTGAAGTTGAGAAGCAAAAAGAAACTCCGTTTCAAAAGGCAAAGAAGTGGTTCATCTTCATGATGTTGTGTTGTAAAGTTAGTAAAGTTGATGTTTGTGATGATCGATGATGATGGGATAGTGGTTCTTCAACTCAACCTTCCTTACATTTATAGATGGATGCCAAAAAATAAAATATGCAAATATGAGTTTGATTTTTTTTTTAGTATAACAGGTCGGGTGAGGATTCGAACTCTCGACTTTATAATTGAATACATGTGTCATAACCTAAGAGTTGGCATGAGTTTGATTTTATTTGAATCGACGTGATTTAAATTTAATTACTCAAATTGTGTCCAACCAAAATTTTAGATTATTTTTGCCGTAGAAAATAAAACGATAAATTTCACCGTTGCTCGCTAGTTTCCAAAAGCACTTTGATTTCAGCATTTTAAAAGCATTCCCATGAAACCAAACGCTTGCGCCGAATGTAATGTTGTTTTTGAAACATTCGAATTCCATCCTTTGTTGTCGACTGAAGAACTCTCTCTTTGGTTTTCATTTGTTACCCTCTGTATCTGTTGTTGATGCCAAAACAATCAGTTTTGCCCCTGAATTCAAGTCCCCTGTTCTTCAATCCCTTCACCATTCCTTACAGAGATGCTCCTCCATGACACACCTCAAGCTTCTCCATGCCCAAATCATTCTCCACGGTCTCCTTTCTCACGATTTCACTCTTGGAAAGTTGATCTCTTTCTGCGCTCTTTCAGAAGCTGGGGATCTTCGCTACGCCCAACTTGTTTTTGATCACATCCTCCAACCCAATAAGTTTATGTTCAATTGCTTGATCAGGGGATACTCCAATTCCCAGCACCCAATCAAGGCTATTTTTCTCTACTTTCAAATGGTGCGCTCTGGGTTTCTACCCAATGAATTTACCCTCCCATTTGTGTTCAAGGCTTGTGCTTCTGAGCTTGCGTATTGGGAAGCTCTTGTTGTCCATTGTCATGCTTTTCGACTGGGGATTTTGTCTCATGTGTGTGTTCAGAATGCTCTGATCAATGTCTATACTGTTTGTGGTTTGGTCCAGCGTGCCCGCCGAGTGTTTGATGAAATGTCTCTTAGAAATCTGGTGTCTTGGAATTCGATGATTGGTGGGTATTCTAGAACGGGATTTTGTAAGGAAGCGTTTTTGACGTTTCGAGAGATGAGAGAGTTGGGATTTCACCCTGATCACTTTACATTGGTTAATCTACTGTCCATTTGTTCAAGAAGCTATAACTTGGATCTTGGCAAATGTGTGCACCTCTACATTGAGATTACTGGGATTGAGGTTGATCAGATTTTGAGAAATGCTCTGCTTGACATGTATGCCAAGTGTGGGAATTTGCTTTCTGCTTGGAGGATCTTCGATCGAATGCTTGAAAAAAACGTGGTCTCAAGTACTTCTATGATTAGCGCTTACTCAAAACATGGACTTATTCGCAATGCTCGTGATGTATTTGAACAAATTCCAAAGAAGAATGTTGTCTCTTGGAATTCGATGATCTCGTGTTATGTCCAAGAAGGTAAATCCAAGGAAGCGCTGCTTCTTTTCCAACAGATGTGTGAGACACCCATCATGCCTAACGAGGCTACTCTAGTTAGTGTTCTTTCAGCATGTAGTCAAATTGGTGATTTAGCCATGGGACAGAAAGCCCATTGTTACGTATACAGCAACAATATCAAGATAACTCCGACTCTTTCAAATGCCCTCATTGACATGTATGCAAAATGTGGCGCCCTTGAAACTGCCATGGATATCTTCTTTGAGTTTACCAGTAAGAATTTGGTGTCATGGAATGTCATTATCCAAGCACTTGCATTACATGGCTATGGACATGAGGCACTCAAACTATTCAATATGATGAACACATTGGGGATCTGGCCCGACGAAATCACATTCATAGGATTGTTGTCTGCTTGTAGTCATAGCGGTCTTGTCAATGCAGGACGTTATTTATTTGAGAGAATGAGTTCCATTTATGGTATTTTTCCAGAAATCGAGCATTATGCATGTATGGTGGATCTGTTAGGGAGGGGAGGGTTGTTGGAGGAAGCAATGAGGCTGATAGGAGGAATGCCAATGAAGCCTGATGTCGTTGTGTGGGGTGCTATGCTCGGTGCTTGTAGGACTTACGGAAATGTCGACATTGGGAATCAAATCCTAAAACAAGTACTGGAGTTGGAGCCATATAGTTCAGGACTCTACGTGCTTCTTTCGAACATATATTTTGAAGCGAAGAGATTGAGAGAAGTGAAAAATATAAGAAAGCTAATGAATGAGCATGGGATCATAAAGTGTAAAGCTGTTAGCTTGATTGAGATTGATGGATGTATTATTGAGTTCATGGTTGATGACAAGAGACCTGAAACAAGCGGTATATATACATTGCTGGATCAGTTAACAGACCATTTGAAGTCGGTGGGGCATTTCTCGAATCTCACAGCTGCCTTTTGGGATGTAGAAGAATGTTAATGGTCCACCAATTTCTTTTGCTGTCTTGTTTCATACATTCAAAAGAGGGAAGACTATTCAGACAGACTGACTTGCATCTTGGAAACAAGTGTTGGGTTTATGGAGCTGAATCGCGCTCAGTCCAAACCGGGGTCGAAGCTTGGTTTGTTGGAGTTCGAGCAAAACGCGAGAAGTCCAAGTAAATGAAGCACAAGCGCTGCAGCGCCAAAGGAATAGAAGTGCTTCCAACTGCAGCACCAAAGAAGCTTACAATATACATGCTGCGCACCATAGTTGTGAGGTAACTTGTAACAATTTCGGGACTTGAGATTAAATTAAAATAGCATGGTTTATTGTTCTATTTGTGTAATTCTCATCACTGTACAGTAACATAGTTCACACTTACACAGTGAAGTATAAATCTTTACTGCAATTTTTTGTTCCCTTAATTAGCCAAATAATGAATAGGCCTATCTTTTTTAATCTCAAGTATTGTGTTTGCTTTCTAAAATCCCTACTTTATTTTTAATCTTTTTTAACTTTATTTTATTTTTAATATTTTGTGTGGTACATATATCTATAATTTTTATCTCATTCTATCTCTTTAACTTAACTTGAGGACTAGGAGTGCTAATTCTCGAGCTTGGATCAAAGTCTTGTGCAGTTCAAGAATCTTCGGGTCTTCTAGTCTTCAGATCTTGTTTTCAGGGAGTCTTTCATTTGCTGGAGTCTCCTTTGAATTCTCATCTTTTGACAATGTTTCTCCCTCTCATGACCCTCTCTGGTCTTTCATTGGCCTTGGGCTTGGACTTGATTGATTTTGGTCCAACTACTGGACTTGACTAATTTAGGCCCTGAATTTCGTTCACTTTGGGCCCAGTTTTTAATGGATTTTAGACCACTTGGATTTGGCCCAATTTCCTTTAAACTTGGGCCTATTTGACTTTGGTCCCGATTCTCATGTGACATCATTTGATTAGACCAATTTATGTCATCGAATGACCTTGTAAAAGATAAGCGACTTTATTTGATTTGTCAAATTTCCATGTCATTTAATATAATTTTGAGACACATGTAAATTTTCAAGGGAAATTATAGTGGGTAGCAAAAATCTTYTATATATTTCAAAATATGTCAACTGTTTTTAAAATTTTCAAATATAGCAAAAATTTTCACTTTCTATGAATAGTATATGAGATACTCACATCAGTAGTATATTAGACACTCATATAAGTAGTATTATAGATGTATATTATTTAAGTAAAAATTGAACTTTCGTTTTTTTTTAATATTATATTTGAACAAACTAAATGTAGTTGCTATTTTGTAAATTTTACTAAAGGACTGTCCCAATTTTTAATTGATCCCAAATTTAATATGTAATTTTATCATTAATTTATAATATTAAAGCAAAAATTTGTGATTGGACCAAACTTCATGCTTGTACGTGAGACTAGAAAGATTTTTGTTCTTTTCTTTTTCTAAAGAAAAATTATTTTCAGAAACAGAAAATGAAAAAGAGCATCATTGGGGATTTTGAATGGAAATAATCAAAATAAATACAATAAGTTTTGTTGCAGAATAAGACTGGGAGTTGTGAGATTTAAGGGTCTATTCGGTAATACTCACGTTTCTTGTTTTTCATTTCAAATTTATTAGGAAACGTAAGCATTTGACAATTATTTATTTTTCTTATTTCTTACTTTTTAGAAACATTCTCAAAATTGTATAGAAATTTTGAAAACAACACAAACAAGTTTTTTGTTTTTCTGTTTCCATTTCCTATTTGTTTCAAGACATAAATAAAAATATGGTTTTATCATTCTTGAATGCATTAATGTTGAAACCATGCCATTCTATTTTTCTTTATCAAAAAAGATGAAATAGAAAGCTAGAGTTAAAGACAGAGACTAATTACCACTGAGCTAAGCTCATGTTTGTTAAGGATCTCACGTTGATAAAAGAATGACCTTACATAGGTTTATAAATATTCATGAGGTTTCACTTGTTCGAATCCCTGGGTTGTTGTCCACAAGAGCCTAAAATGCTCAAACGAGCATCCGCAAGATACCAACTTTTCTATCATTGAACATTTCTAGAAATTTAATTATGTATACATATATAAATATAGTAGTATTTTTTAGGGAAAAAATAATTAATTAATTATATAGAATGACAACCATTTCCACCATCTAGGATCGAAGATGTTCTATCGTCTACTCATCAAAGTAAATAAGATACAATAATTTTTACCTACTTGGTTCAAGAGCTAAAATAAAATAAACAAGAAAAATTTAAGAATTAAAATAAGATTTAATTAAACCTAGCTAGAATTATTATAATAATGACCATTCGTGGAGTTGAAGATTATAAGATTAAATATGATTGTTTTCTTCTTCTTTCTTTCGTATATTTTTTTAATCCTTAATAATGTAGAGAGAAATACGGAAGATCATGAAGATTTGAGTTGGACATATATATTTAAAAAGATGAAATATTTGACTTTGGAACTTAGGGTTTCAAAACAAATAATTGAAATGAAAATAAAGGGAAAGGGAACATTCAAGGCAATTACAAGAAGAATCTTTTCTTCCCCAAATGTCTCTGTCTTCTTTCTTGATCTTCTTCTTCAAAAACAATCAATTCATAATAATTAATATATATATATATATAGATATATATATATTTTTTTTTTTTTTTGGTTCAGATTCTTCAGATTGTGTTGTGAATTTTATAAGGTTATTTGATGTCTATAATGTTGTGAAATTTGTGTCAACTGTTTGGGTTTTGCCGGTTGGTGAGGTTTATAGTCTTGAGCTTTGCCACTCCGATCATCATTTTTCTGTCTTTGTTTTGGTTTATGCTTAGAAAACAAAATATCTAACAAATCCTACTGTTTCTTTAACTGTAGATTTGATGCATAATATAATACGATCATCAATAATTGAATATATGGAAAGAGATATATATGTATAAGGAACAAGAATTTAGGTATCGATTTAGTTGTGTTTCGAGAAATATGAACATGTTTGATGATAGAAACAGAGTAGATTCAAAATAGATCACAAGTCAAACTCGTAAAATAAAAGTTTAATTAAATTAAATTCAATGAATTAGTAGTAAAATTAACTTTTTGTTTTTTAAGATATGCTTAGGTATAAAAGTTCTTGTGATTGGATGAAACCTTTTCTTTTCCCTATTTGCAAGTGTCTTTTCACTTACAAATATTCGATTAAGTTTCCAAATATAAAAATTACAATGGGAATAAATCTACATTAGAGATTTCTTAAAGAAAAAACGAAAAATTAAAGCTCTACTCAATACAAAAGAAAATAAAAATAAAGCTCTTGTTGATGCAGGGTTTGAATCTTAATTTCATCGTCGAATGCTCCAGCCAATATTTACATACAAACAATAGATACACACATTGGTGTGGTACTAAAATCCAATACATTTCGATGTTTAAATCAGACAAAAGGATTCATTTGATAATATATATAGCCGAAAGTAAAGTTGTAGAGTGTACATCGTGCTCCTTTTATTTATGAGATTAGTACATTGATAGATGCTCTGAAGATGATAATTACATAAAGAGATTCATTCTACAAAATTTTGATAATTACAATTCATTCTACAAAATTTAAACTTTTGTTTTAAAATATACTCCTTTGGAACCTATCTGCATTTTACCAATATACATTTTTTTATATACATGTAATTTTTATTATTAAGATATTGAAATTTAAAATAGAAATTAGTTGATTTGGGATTTATTTTTTAAATCCCTAAATTTATGCACCTTTTCACACTCCTAAAAAACTTTCCAAATTTTTAGTTATCTCTCCATCTTCTTCATTCGTCTTCTTTTCTCTTGCTTTTCACCATTATTTCCGACAGACCGTCTTCTCGTCTTTTTAGTGTTCTCCGTTTTCTGTCGTTACCGTCTCTGGTAGCCCGTTTCCAATTTGCTCGCTTTTCACCATTGTTTCCGATCCCGTTTTCTACCGTTTACGTTTTAAATATTCTAGGTTTGTTTTTTATCTTGATTTTGGGTGTTCGATTTGGGTATTTAAAAAGTATTAATTGTAAAGGAATATAGCCGTATATACTTTATAGTTCATATATAAGTTATAGTTTATAGCGAGATATAGTTTATATTTTCATATAAATGTATGTTATAATGACTATAGTTAGCCATATATAGTTCTATATAAGTATATGTTATAATGACTTGTAGTTAGTAGGATATAGTTGATATCTCCATATAAATGAAAATGTAGGCGATATATATATATATGCTCTCCGGCGAATATTAGTGAGATTGAGCTAAATATTGCATTTGAAACGTATCAAAATTGAGCAAAAAATATGAATGAAATGAAAAAATATTTTGTAATAAATTTCAGAATATATTAACGAGCAAATTAGAAGATTATGGGAATAACTGATTTGGGTCTCACAATAATTTAATGTTTATAAAATCAAATTTGGAGCATTAAATATTTTACATTTAAATAAAAAATTAATTATAATAAATATAAATGCCATAAATAAGGGTAAATTTCACCTTGATAAAAGTTTTAAATCCGGAAATCTAAAACTGTAAAATTTGTAAACATTAGATATTTGTGAAAATAAGTTTCCAAAACGGTCCGTCCAAGACATTTTATGTCTTTATTTATAAAGGGAGTCTCCTCAGATTGGTTTGGGTAGACCGACTTGACTGAATTAGGCCAAAGTGGTCCAGTCCAAAAGGTTTCACTAGGATGCACGATACACGTTGTTTCTTTGACTTTACTTCAAGTGAATATAATATAGTAATTTCAACTCCAATCCAACTCTATAAAATATATGTGTGTGTGAAAATAGTAAATATTGTTTCTATTATTCTTTTCCCATTTTTTCTAATTATTACATAATTAGTTTTCTGCATAATTCTTTTTATTTTTTGAAACAGAAATATATTTTTTTGCCTTTGGCTATATCTTTTATCTATTGGCTAACACCTTTTTGTTAGAACCAACCTCTTGAATTTGGGTTGAGGAGTTGTGTACCTTTCACTCTCAAGGAGTTGTGTACCGATCTATTTTTATGGTTAAATTATAAATTTAGTCTATTAACTTTTCAAGGTTGCTGTATTAATGGGTCCTTCAAATTTAAAAAAACATCTAAATTGATCTTTAAACTTTAAATTTTGTGTCTAATAGATCTTTTGAAATTTAAAAGTGTCTATTGGTTCTTCAACTTTCAATTTCGTGTCTAACAAATCTTGGTCATATTTGACATTCTTTAAAATTCACAGACCTCGTAGACATAAAGTTGAATTTTGTATCTCATAATATATAATAGGTCTCTAATTTTTTTTTTTTTAATGTGATAGCAGCCTATTAGACATAAAATATTGAAAATTTTGGGACCTATTAAATAATTTCTAAATTTTAGAGACTTATAAGACACAAAATGAATATTTTCGAATATGATAGGACATCATTTTGCCATATAAGAATATCTCAAGAAACCGAAATCAACCTAATTCAAATAACACACAATCAACCGTAATAGAAAACAGTATAAGAAATCCTTTTCTAGATGGAAAATACTTGACCAATCTTGTCCTCACCAACATTGTTCCTTACCGTTGAGAAGCCATGTAACTTTCCTTTCTATATTTCCGAAAATGGGGAGAGTTGAATTTCATTTGGAAATGGGAAAAAGAATGGTGGAGGAAGAAGAAAAAGGTTTTGTGGGTGGGTTCATTGGAAAGGGCCAAAGGGTAAAAGGGATGCATGTTCTTCACAACATGAATTATTGATTGCATCTAAAGAGAAAAAGGTTGATGAGGAATGCCTTTTTTTGGTGGTGTGGTGCTCCTAATGATTGAGTAATATGAACTTGGAGAGGAAGATTTGAAGAAACT